CTTTATATAAAAGTGAGAAATACATTAAGTTGGAAGTAAAGTGTGGAGCTGTATATTTCGTTTTTTTAAAAAAAAGTAATGACTAGAGATAGTCATTACTATCTTTAGTCAATTGGTTTTTATCAATAAATATACGCCTAAAGCTAGCAAACTATGGAATGGTTGAATTATTTTATATCAAAAAATATTTTGCAGCCGTCATTCAAAGTGTTTGATTCTGGATTAAGGAAATCTGGGGTGGGGCGCTGCTAACCATAATTCAAATCCCACGAAAATCAGTTTTTCTGAAACCAACTTCATAGAACAGGTTAAGATTTAAACGGTTAATTATAAAATTTGTTTATTTAGTAAATTGGTATAAATTGACTAATCGATTTGAGTATTCGACGAAGCTAATAATACGAATAGTACAATCATTTGATTCGTATTTTTTTGTAGATATACTTATGAACTAATGAATTGAATGGTGATCTATTTGCTAGGACATATTACCATATTATCATCAATATCTTTTGTGAATTAGTATTTTAGTTCTTGAATTTATATTTATAGAACTTTTAATCGCTTTTATTTACAGTTATTTTTAGTTTAAAACGTTATTTATCTTATTAAGCCTTTCTCTTTATTAAATATAAGCCTTCTTGGCTCAAATTGTAAATTATATAAATCTCCATTTCTATTCATTTATTTTAATTTTATGTTTTAATTAATTATAATGATAATAAGCAAACCTAATTTGCTTAATGTATGTTTGCTTGTATCAATAATATTGAGTGTATTTCAGAATGGACCTAAAAATTTTATATATATATTTATGGTGGAGTTCTAATACACCAAGTTCAATCACGAAACACCTATATTGGTGTTCTCTAGGATCCCACCTGTGTACTGATTGGGATTTTACAATAACAAACAACGCCATTCAAAGTTGAAGATATTTAAAAGGACTAATTTATTATTTCAGTAGGAATTTACATATTTGAAAGATATTATATTAATTAAGCTAGACCTATTCAAAAACAAATTCTACTAATAATGAATTATTCGTATTCGATTCTTTAACGAATCGAATAATTTACTCTTCTTAATTGTATTAATCGAATACGAATAGTAAATTATACGATTAAACTGAACTCGAATAATTTGTTATTCGATTTCCTATTCGTTTTTAAATATGTCTAAATTAACCATAGTTGGATCCTCTTATTCAGGCTAAAAACGCGCGTGCATCTTAGCGGATTTTCTTCTGCCACCATTTGTATATTGAGCCGAATAAGACGATATCATTTTTGATATTTCAAAAGATTTTCCAATTTGCGTGTAAATCATAGCGATTAGATATCATACGAAAACATGATTTCGCTGTATGTATGCCTGTCTTTTAACAGAAATTAATTGTATCATGTATGCTGGAGAGATAACACCACACCTTTTTGGGCTCAACATAAATGTAGATTTTTTTTATATTAAATATTTTCGACTTGCAATTAACTTTCGGTATTTTTATTTAGTTAATACATTATATTTTCAATTAATTATTTTGATAAAATATTACCTTTATTTTAAATCAAAACAAAGATTGATTTATTTAGGTTAATTCAATTTAGTTTTCATTTGTAAGAAAAAAATTTATTAACATAAAAACTTATATTATTTTTAATTTATTTTTTTTGATAAAATATAAATAGAACCGGTGGCTTCCATTTTAAAAGAATTGCAGCATTTCGTACACAATAAATAAAAATATCGGGTTGGAAAATCCAATTTTTTAATAAAAATTGTTGTCGCCTAAAGATCTTGACTTGTGTCATATTACTTCCCTTTGGGTTATGTTCAATATTTAAGATCTTGACTTGTGTCTTATTATTCTGCCTTTGGGTCAATGGATATATCGTGGATTTAATTCGGACTAAAAAGGTTTGTGTGTGGTTAAACAAAAATCGCAATCCAGAAGATGTGTTAATATTGGATATTTTCTTTTTTTTCTTAGAAAAATTTTTTAAAATTATTATTTCGTAAATACTTCTATCCGAAAAAAGTTTCCAGCATTTCCCTATTTCTACTTCTTAGATGAATACTCCATGCCAGGATTGAAATTGTTAATAAAAATTCTGGCTACGTCACCGCATCTTTAAACTTCGCTTTAATCTTCACTTAATCATCGCCATGAGGCAGATTTCTCTGTCCAGATCTGCAATCTCCTAGCTACAACTTCCATTTGGAGAACGATGATTTTTTTTTTGGAATTTTTATTAAAAAAAATGATCGTAAAAATACTTTGGGGTAATTTATTTAGGGAATTTTTTTTTCACCTTATTACCACAATAATTTAGAACATTATGTCCATCGGCCATTTTACTGGTTAGCGAGAAATATAATTTTTTTACATTTCGCGTTTTCGTTCAATCCAAATATATATATTTTTTTTTTAAAAAAAAACGCTATTTTTGCGAATCTAAATTTATTATTTTAAAAATATTCTCATTTTTTTTAAAGTGGTTGTTTAAGGGATGTCATCATCGTAATAAGAACGCCTGCACTTCTTTTCTCGTTACTTTGCAAAAAAAATTTCAACAAGTAACTCGATATTTGCTTAAAAATTTATAAAAATAATTTAAATTTTGGGTTAACCCTGAACTTAAACCTTATCACGATTTTTAAAACAAAGTATTTATTTTTTTTTAGTAATATAATTGAAAAGTTTAAATATTTTTGCTAGAAGAAAAAGTAGGCCCGGCATGATTGGCATTCGGGTCTGTCCTAATTTATAAAATAATATATTTTTTTTCGAATCAGACACCCAGTATTGTTGTACGGCTCGCCTTTTTAAATTGGCTAACTCAATATTTTAGAGCCAAAAAAAATATTACGCAAATCTGGAGATTTTGTTCGGAGCTTTAATTGAGAAATGGTTACGCAAACAATTTGTGACATTGCTAAACCATTCCTACTTTGTATTTTAACAGCTATTTAAATTACTAAATCTATAAAATAATATAGTAAATTGACAAAAAATTTAAAAAAGTTATATATGATATGTTCTAAATTACATATACACATCACCACAGATATAAAACAATTAAATTATAGAACGGTTGTTATAGAAATAGATAGCCATATAGTAGAGATATATTAGCTTGATTGATGCTGGGGAAAAAAAAATTAGATATCGATAGTAAAAAATGTATAATCGGAAAATTCGTAAAAAAAAATTCACGTGTCGGGTTTTTTTTTGTAAAAATTTTAACAGGTTGGGCAACATAGTACAAAATTTTTTAATGGACCGGGCTTTTCTAATCTGCATTAGCCAAATTCCAGAAAACCTATCTGGAATAATAAATATATTTCTTAAAAAAAGATTATTTGTTCCAACAGGAAATTGAAAATATGAACAGTATAATTGAATATTTAGAAGCTTCTTTGTATGATTTCTAACTGATTTATTTATATATTTTAAATTTTTTTAAAAATTGACCCGGCCCTAAATTTTTAAAGATTGGCCTGAATTTTTAAAAATCATTACAATTTTTAGGGCCAAACTTGTAGGTTTGTTTGTCCGATATTTGTTTGTATAATATTTTGACGTGGGAATTGATTTGGGATGACTCACTCTTCTACATTATTTCCATTTTCTGTTGTAGTTTTTTTTAAAAATATATTATTACATTTTGTTTACCTTATTTTAAAATGTCAGGCTACCGTATTTTAATTTTTATAAATATCTCATATGATATATAATATATGATAAACTATTTCATTTACAAGTCATAAATAATATGTTACATAATAATGCGTACAGATTGAGCGTTTGTGTTTTGGCGTACTTTTTTTTATAAAAAAACGCAACGCATCCATCTCATGTTTAAATCACTAAAATAATAAATAAAAACTTTATTTAAAAATATAAATACAAGAAAATCTACAATAAAAGTATGTTTTCAAATAATTTATTCAATTATGATATTAAATATATCTAGGGCTGTTTCAGCATTTTGTACATTATTCAAATTTTTCATCATCAGTGAGTATTTTAACATTTCTAATTTAAAGAGCTATTGATACGGTATACTAAATCCATCTAGCCCTCCTTCCAATGATAATATAAATCATCTAGACAAAATATAAATTTTTTAAACCTAAATTTACCTGTTTGGAGATGTCTTATTTATAAGAGCCAAAAATTGTTCATCTAATTTTTGGTTCTGGGCTATAAACTATTTTAATGCTCTCAACAGTATTATACTCATTTATACCCAGATTCAATAATGGTTAATTATCCCATCACTATCATATACTTTTTATGATATGAATATGGCTGACTACAGAGCATTTCGTTATTCCAAATAGTTGAGAAATTTTTTAGTAATTGCGTCATCCCATGCCCTAAATCTAAATATACCAATTAACATAAAATAAATCCCATAATTTATAAGTAATCTTATATTTTAGAAGTAGTATGCAATTCAAAATTTAAACTTTTATGTAATGAATTAAAGCAAACCAGTTTGCATTTTTTAAAATGTATGTAGCCATGTGAAATGCATTATTTACTTTTGAAACGCTCTTGTGCACACTATAAGGCTGTGTCCAAAATATCGGAAAATTCGATTCGCAATCTTTGAAACTTTTTCAAAAATGAAGAAATGACTTTTTTTTTAAATATAAAAATAAATGCCTAATATATAATTATAGAAAATTTCAAAACTTTGTCGAATCATTTGAAAAAAAAATTGGACATACCCTCATATTAATTATGATAAACTACAGTGTTGTGATGATTTAATGAAACAAAATAACAAGGAATAATAAAAGAAATTTCAATAATGATTTGTCTATATTTTAATTATTTTTGCAAAGATTATAATTTTATATGAATGGGTTTTAATTTAATCGTCAATATGTTTCGTTAAATCATCACAACACTGTATTTCATTTTTTACAATAAACAATATTTTACATAAATATAATATCAATAACATTTATTTATTTATATTTATAAGTATTAAAAAAACAAGGAAATTATTCCACATGCAAATTTTAAGAAACAAGGTGGGTGACCATGCACATATTTATTATCTAGTACCATTACATTACATGATATAAAAAAAATTCCGTCATGTTTCTTTTTATCTTCACATCAATCTGCTCGCAATATTTTTTTATCAACCAGATAAGGCGATTTAAACGCTTAACTTATTCTTCATTATTCGGACCTGCGGGTTGGCGATGATACAATGCCCCAAGGTGGTTTCATAACCTCCGATCGCTTTAGTAACCCGCCTGAGTATCCCGAAATAGTATCAGACATTTTTCTGACTAGCGAAAACCCTTTGCATATCGAATCCACTGAGTATTCAACGTTGGAAGAGGAACGCATCCCTCTCATAGAATCTCCTCAAATGACCAAACAATCAAACGACAGGCATTGCCTACTACCGCCTAACCCTAGTCCCCCTCTTATCGTTCCACCCCTCGCATCGACCGCTGCATCCACCCCCATCGAAAATCCGGCCACAAAATCATTAAACTCTTCACTGGATCACATACATTCCTTACCATTTTTCGACCCCACGACTAACTCTCTCATGAATATTCCAAATTTACCGTTTAACCCTAACGGGCCCATCAACGTTCCCGCGATGAACCCTCCAGCTCATCATCTCTCGGCCCGTCTTTTATATGCTCCGCCAAGTCCGGGCAGCTCGGTACACTTTTACATCGGAACCAACCCCCACGGCAGTCTGGCCAGTATGGTGACCGTTAATGGACAATATCCGCCCAACTACGCCAGCTATATGAACTACGCTCCTTTTTATTTTCAGCCCGTGCTGCTCAAAGACCGTTATCCGCATTATTACAGGCAGCATTTCGGCAGCAAATTTGGCTCCGACGACGGGTACCTCTCCAAAGACGGTAAAGACGCCAATAATGGTCTTTCCTTCGTGGTTTCGGAGTCAGGCGGCCTTGTGCTTTGCAGGATTTGTCAAACCCCGGGAACCGAAAGAAGTCTCATATCACCTTGTAAATGTGCGGGATCGGTGCGCTATGTCCATAAATACTGTTTAACGGTTAGACGATTTCCTTTTTTAAAATTAGATAATAAATAGATAAAAACATATGCTTTTTTTTACATTATATAATATCGTTTATTTAAATGATCAAAATTTGACGATTTCACAATTTTTTAAATTAATCCCTTTAAAATAAATTATTATCCTAGGAGAAAGCCTACGAGTTTTCGATATCGAGTTAAATAATCTCATCATTTTCCAACCTATTTATAGTCATTTTACAAATTTTATATGATGAGGGATATGTGGCATGGGGCTCGGATCTTCACTTGAATCATATTAATTTCAAGTCGCTAAGAAATTTAATTTGATTATTTTTAATATTATATTATTTTTTTTGAAAAAAATTTTAGATTTTTAATTATTTATTGTTTGTTATTATATCATAACTGGTTTCTAAAGGGGGGTCCAGCATATTAAATGTGAAAAAATTGATTTCAATCATTTAAAAGTCACTAATTTAATTAAAATTAATCCTTCGATACTCAGGTGGGGCTTATGTATGACACCTTAGGCATAGTCTGTTCTTTCATATTCAATAATTTTTAATTTTTTTTTCTTTTAGGTGTAGGATTATTCATTTTTTTTTATTCACAAATGTACTGCTTTCATTTTCTTTATTATCTTGATCAAGCTAATATATAATTTTTGCCAGATTTTTGTTGGGTGAGAGCACATAATTTGTTGAATTTGGCTTTTACAGTTTCAAATTTCTTCTTCCACTTGATCATAATTTATAAGAATCTTAAAATTGTTATCTAAGAACAGTTATTTATATATAAAATTAATATATTTTAATAGGCTGCATTATATCTTAATTTGATTGTTGCCCTGCTCTAAATGATATAAATATTTGCCCAAATATACATATATTGATTCCTGTGATGATACTATAATATCTTTACATTATATTTCAATTATTTTGGATTTATTGATAATAATGAAAATTAAGAAAATACGCGATACGTGATATATAGCGCATATGCCCTCTGACGTTGAATTAACAACAGAGCTACGCTAAGTTTTCATTTCCATCTAATTGGAACATAAGTTAATTGGGGTACAAAGTTGGAGCCCTCTACACGTTTGTGGGCAAGCCGCACGTACTTGTACGCGCAACATTTCTAAAAATGTTACAGAAATCAATAGGCTTTAAAAAAAAGAGCGGGGCAGTAAAAAGAGCCTATGCCCAAGAGCTGCAGTATAAGTTAATTACTTTAAAGGTGGGTTGTGGCTGATTTTAAATTTAAGTTTTTTAGTGAAAACAGTACATTTACGAATAAAAAAAATGAATATTCCTACACCTAAAAGAAAAAAATTAAAAATAATTTATTATAAAAGAACAGATATCTTAAAGGGTTCTTATATATTATAATAGATATCAGAGACCTGCAGAGGCACCATTTGCACGGCCCGGCCCGGTTTTAAATTTTTTAGGCCCGGCCTGGATAATTTTTAAAAAATTTTTTTACGGCCCGGCCCGGATTTAAAGATTTAAGGCCCGGCCCGGATAAATTTTAAAAAAATTTTTTACGGCCCGGCCCGGATTTAAAAATTAAAGGCCCGGCCCGGATATTTTTTTAAAAAAAATTTCAGGCCCGGCTCGGAATTTTTTAAAATTATATTCGACCTGGTATATACAAAAATTCACCTATGAGATTTTTTTATTTAAAAGCGTAGAAAATTTAAGAAATATATTGCATGGGAAAAAATGTTTTAAGAGGGAAAATCTCTACCATATTTTTCAGTGAGTATTATCGCTTATTATTTAAAAAATACATGAAAAAAGCTAATATTTTGAGAATATTATATTGAATTTATAAAAATTATAAAACTGTTATTTATAAAAATGGATATTTTGAGCATATATTATATTTTTTGCATTTATAAAAATAAAACTAATATTCATAAAAATGGTATATTTTGAGCATATACTATATTTTTTCATTTATAAAAATAAAACTAATATTCATAAAAATGGTATATTTTGAGCATATACTATATTTTATATTGCATTTAAAAAAAATAAAACTAATATTTAATTTATAAAAATGGAAAATATTTTGAGAATATTATGTATTTTATTTAATTTACTATTTAATTTATAAAATAAAAATAAATCGCTATTTAAAAAAATGCATGTATAATAAATAGTATTTTGAAAAATCTAATTGCACAATATTAATATAATTTATTTTATAATTTTTAAATATTTTATATTACATTTATAGGTTGGTTTTTCAGGTGTAAAAATAAATTATTAATTTTCATGGATTTACCATCACATTTATGTCTTTTTAGATGTGATGTACCATGTTTATAATTATAAGATAATATACTTGAACAATTCTTACATTGTACGTAGCCAATGTTTTTTTTATTTTCATCTATGATGATGTTAAATTTAGCCCATATTTCAGATTTTAAATTATTATTTGTATTTCTAAAAGAATAAATATTATTTTTAATTTTATTAATTATTTCATTAGTATTTTGTGCCATGATATTCCTTTATTTGATTGTTTTGGTAAATATTCTAAAAATTTAGATATGAATTATAAAAAATATATTATTAATACTTGAATATTGAGGCTTATTTAAGATATTCCTTTATTTGATTGTTTTGGTAAAATATGTTGTAAAAATTTAGATATGAATTATAAAAAAATATATTAATACTTTGAATAAATTTGCAGGAAATTAATAATTAGATCGATCTGTGGGTGTTAGGTGTGTTAACCATCACCCAATATTATATTAATCATAACTATAATATAATATAATCTTATAACCATTAACTCATAATGTAAAAATTTTTATAAAAAATATTAAGGTCCGGCCCGGCCCGGATTTAACAATCTTAGGCCCGGCCCGTATATATTTTAAAATTTTTTTAGGCCCGGCCCGGATATATTTAAAAAATTTTTTTAGGCCCGGCCCGGGTATATTTAAACGGGCCGGGCTTAGGGCCGGGCCTGCAGGTCTCTGATAATAATATCTACTTTTCTTTAGAATGTCTCTTTTTAAAAAACAATATAATAATCTCATTGTTTATAAAGTTAGGAACTTAAAAATCCTTAGCGAGAAGAATGTAATAAATTATATTTGAATTCAAATAGCATATATCGATCAGATAAGAAATTTTAATTTCGATCAATATTCTTGATATTTATTGTGAAAACCGGATTAGAAAATTTATTAGGTAATAAATAAAAATGTGAATTATATCATAGAAAAATATATAATTGGTAAAAATACAAATACTTTTTATATTTGCATTTTTGCTATTTATTTGAATATCTTACAAATAGTATTTAAAGCTTTAGACTATGTCCTAAATTCAAAAAAGGACTACTCAAAAGTTTTACGAATTGTACGTATCCGAAATCTTCCATTAAACTTTCACTTATCATATCACTATTTACATACATAACAAACAAATAAATCATTGTTATTCGTACACTGAGTACTGTATTTTATTATTTTAAATATGGCCGGGCCTGAAATTTTTTTAAAAAAAAATATCCCGGTCGGGCCGTATATTTTTAAACCAAATATCTGAAATCGCCATTAAATCAAAAATAAATATAATATATTTAAAAAAATCCGGGCCGGGCCCGAAATTGTTTAAAAAAAAGCCTGTCGGGTCAGGCTTGAAAATATAAAACCCGGGCCGGGCCGTGCAAATGGTACCTATGCAGATCTCTGATTTAAATTATATATATTTTTAAGTTTTTATTAAAATTTTAGGAAAATAATATTATCTTTCTATATAAAATTTTTTTTATTATGGTAAGAAAGCTTTTTTTAAAAAAAATTTGAATCTTAAATACAATTCTTTTTCAGGTTTCCAACTGTTAATTAGCTACGTTTACTATTAGTTCTTATATTTATTTACATCATACAAAGTAATAACTGAAATACAATTATATATTTACATACATCGTTTTGTAGATTTAATTAAACATTTACATATTTTTTAATTCGTTTTGTAAATAAAATTATTTTATAAAAATTGACAGGAATATACAGTAATATTATGATTTGTTGTAACACATTTCCATAATGTGAAAAAACATTATTATATAGTTATATAACTTTCTATAATTATTTTGGTATAATTTTTTTTAAAATATTTTTGATATAATTTTTAAAAAAATTTTTTAATAATAAAAGCTTAACTTTAATGAAGAACTAAAGTCAAAGTTATGAATTGAATATAGTTTTTTTATGTTTTGGACACAAATTTAGGTGGGAAAAATGAGAAAAATAATAAAAAAATTTCAAGATTTTTACAATAACTTTCTTTTAAAAATATGTACATTATAAATTTTTTTATTTACTTTTGGTTATCTAAAGAATGGAAATCAGGATAATAAATTTGAATAATTTCTAAATAAACACGAGTGAAAATTGGAATTTAGGGTTTTTAGATAATTCTTATTTGTTTAGATTTATATATTTATTCTATGTAAATAAAATATTACTCAATACAAATTAATTAAAAATTTAATCATTTAAAGGAATGCATCGAATTCCATCTTCAATGAACTTTGTGGTGTGAGAATAAAAATTTGAAAAATTGTATGTAAAATAAATAACTATTCAAAATACTCGTAACAATTGCAATGACTTCTATTCTGTTAATGCATTTAGAAGAATTCGATCGGTATGATTTTTAATAGCTCCGAAAAAAATTTCGATCGGATTTAATTGTGGTGAATAGGGTGTTAAAAATATGATATTTGGATAATTTTCACAAATTATCCTCGCTTATCCATTATCAAAGAATTTGATAATAAAATTTACATAATTCATCGAATTTCCACTTATTCCTATTGTGCATAGGAATTATATATTTTTCCCCTTGGAGGAAGGTAACTTAACAGATGGTCTTTTTCTCAAGGGTGGCCATTAATTTGCAAACATTTATAAATTTTGAGGTTATTTTTTAAAATGAGGCTTTATTAAAAATATATTGGTAGATAAATTTTTTTTTCTTAATATTACCTTAAAGCTAATATCTTCTAAGCCTCAATATTTATAATCTATCTATTTATATACATCCCATTTAGATTCATTTCTTGTTATAATTTAAAATATATAAATTAATTACTTACTAGTATTTTGGTAAAATTTTCACAAGTATTTAAATTTTAAGCTAAATTTTATTATAGCGTGTTATTTTTTCAAAAATTAATAAATTTATTTATATTTTTGATATTTAGGACACAGCCTAATATAAAGAAGAAGAAAAAGAATTTTTTAAAAATTTCCATTTTAAAAAATAAATTTTAAATTTTGAAAAGGTCTTGATTTTATTATCGACTAATTTTTTTTATGCGCATATTTAGAGTTGAGTTATTTTGGCATAATAAAAATCGATGATTTAAATCAATTTTTATTTTTGCTTTTTTAAATAATTATTAGCTTTTGTTTTCAAATAAAAACATTTTTATTTCAATATATATTTGTCACTTATAAGTTTTAATTAATTACTATATTTTCTTCTTCATGAAAAGATTTTATGTTGTGTTAAATTAACCCCGAGATTATTTTATTTTGGTATTAAAAACTTATAAAATCCATTTGTTTTAAAATTTAAGGAGATATAAAAGTAACCTATAAAATTATTTTGTCTTTGTTTAATTAATATTAATTCAATATTTTGTTGATTTCTAAGATTAATTCAGATGCAGTTTATAAATATTAATTTTAATATAATATAATATAAATTTTTGTAATTTTACTATAAATTATATATTCAGATTAAAATTATTATAAATAGTAAAATATTGATAAACACATGATATTATTGCTAGTTTAAGAAAGATTTATTCATAAATTCCGCAGGGAAAACCGATATTTCTTTGATTAAATGACTGCTTGTTTGATTAATAAACTCCATATTTTTATATTTTGCTCATATTAAACTTAATTTAAATAAAATAATAATGATTTAAATCAAATAAATTGATTTTTATATAAAAGTTCAGAAAATTTTAGCATAAATAATTATAATCGACTTTGATACATTATAAATTGAAATAAAAATATATTCAGTTTAAAGTCTGGTTGACACATTCCTCCTGATCATATACTCCCCCACACCTAGTTCACGACAAAATTGTATATTCACAAGACGGGACTCATACCTGCTGGAATATATTTCCTTTTAAAATAAGATTTTTTAAATATAAAAATTAAATTAATTACTCATTGTAAATTATTTTGAAATCGAAAGATTTCGTGACTCCATATTATCTACATAGTAATTTATATATCCTTTACCACAGCGATTTGCTTAACTATGATCAAAAAGTCATCCACTTTTCTGACAGGTCCATTTAACCGTTGTAAATTAAAATTATAGCTTAAATATTGTTTATTGTTAAATATTACTGAAAACCTGCATAATTCGTATTAACAATGATGTCGTTCATTTTAACCGAAATAAACTAAAATACGATCAACCCTCTCCCTCCATCACATCTTTATGTTATAATTGAATTTTTTTTAAATATCGATTATAGAAATGGTTGGAGATCAATCCTAACAGAAACCGGAAATCTCAGATTTGCGAATTGTGTCAATACACTTACCACCGGAAGAAGAAATTTAAAGTTCGTTTTAAGTTTTTTTAATAGATAGTATAAATATCTTTTCTTAGCAAAGACAAAAAACTTCGAGCTATAGCAAAATTTTGACAACATTTAAAAAAAAAGAATAGAAATGAGACAGAATAAAACACTACAATTACGATGATTTTCACTTAGTTAGTGTTTGTGTCCTCAGGAATTGGGGAGACAAATTAAAAAAGAAACCTGGATTTTCTTTCTCTAAATTTCTAGGAACTGCTGACCTTTTTAAATTTTTTTATTAAATCCGAATCAGAACTTTAGCAAAAGTGCTACTAATTTATATACGTATACTCTTCAAAAATTTTGCATAATTCATTTGGAGGAAGGTGTGGGGGGGGGGGTTATTTAGTGTTCCGCTTATTTATTGCGTCATTGTCTATTAATAGATTTTGGAATAATTGTAATCTAGAACCGTCTTTAAGAAAAATATTCGAAGCATATTTTTAACAGTACTAAGATAGGAATTTTATTTCACATATGGTTTTACAAATGAATAGAACCTTAGAGCACCACTCCCAGGTTACTAAAAAAATTTTGAAGTATATTTGAAGCTACTAACACATTTATTAGCATTTAGAATATGAAAAAATGCCAATTTAACCTCTTAACTTTATTTTTATGTACTTTCCCATATCACTGAAACATATGTGTCTTTGACAAAAAGACATTGGACAAAGCATTTAAAGTTTTTACCTAAAATTGGGGTATATTATCCTGAGTATTTTTGTCCAGGGTACTTTTGTCTCCTGAATCTAAAAAAAGCCAGTTATGCTTCTGTTCTCGCCATTTTTCATAAAATAATGCTTCTATTCTAACCAATTTTCATAAAAAAATAACGAGGTTATTGCTGCTATTTTGTTTTTATAATATTTAATAATTATATTCTTCATTCTTTTTTGTCAATAAATTCCCTTATTTTGAAATCTATCCAAAATTAAATTTATATAAAATATACGTGATATTTATATCGTAACAAATAATTTTTTAAAAAAATAATAAAATTTTTTAAAAAAATAATAAAATTTTTTAAAAAAATAACAAAATTTTTTTTTGAGAACAAACGCGACGCACAATAACTCTCAAAATATAAGGAAATATTTTCGAAAATTATTTTAATTTTTTTAAAAATAAATTATTTTTATTGCATCTCATGTCACGGTATACAGTGTGTCGCAAGGGAAGTGCTAAAAAATTGATCAGATGTCAACACGCCAGCAAAACTTAAGTTCAAAACAATTTGTAAATTCGTTATTTTAAATGTATCTGTTTCGAATACATTTAATAATTTGTATGGAGGACTATTTTAGAGTTTATATATATCATTATCGATTTCGATACCTTTTAAAGAATATCGTTAATAATTCTGTTCATTTTTTTTATAATAATGAATTAGATCATTATAAAATTTATAGTTTTATTCTTTAAGGAACGTAGGGTACCATAAATTGTTATTTGATCTTTTTCAACACTCGCAATGTCATTTAGTATATCTTTCTGAATGATGGATTTGGCTCTAAATATACATAAAACTATAAAATAAATTTAATATTTTAACTGTATTCATAATTTAAAAACATAATTTATTTGTAATTAAGTTTTTTAATAGCTATAATAAAAAAAAAAGATTTAACAAACCAAGTGAGCATAAGCAATATTTTACCATGCTTGTATATAATTATTCTTTGTTCGTCTCTCCTGTATACAAAACACAGAAGATCCTAGTTGCTGTTAGCACTAATATTAAATTGGAGCGGACTGTATCACAACTCTAGCTGAATTAATAAAATATTATCATGGGTGGTTTCCAATCATGTATGCATAGCATTAGCGGTCTTACTCTTAAAACACTCTAGGTTGAATCAAAAAAACAACAGCTATATATGTCCACTGTGCTGCTCATTTGCTCAACTTGGCAATATCTAATTCATGTTTTTTACCATTGATATCAAATTGCTTAGGTATAATTTTATTTATTTTAATTAAATTTTTTATATTTATATCAGGCAAATATTTAGCATCTATGATGTTTAGATACCCCAAGCGACAAAAATATTTGAAACAATTATATACTCCTTGCCCAACAAGGAGAAAGAAATTGCAAAATGCTTGTTCAACGAGGAGTCTTCATCATCAAGCAGTAACAGCTTTTATGGAGTTAGAATAGCCTATTATTAACTTGCTGAAATATCACAATGTCCTGAAAGAGATATTTCCCCAGAAGCAAGCAAATTATTGGATTCAATAAATTTTTTTTCCTCATTAGAATGTATTAATAAATTATTTAATTATACACTCATTTTATGTAATACTTTTCAAAAACATGACATTGATTTGATTGAGACGATGATAGTAGCGGAGAGCATATTAGAACTCAAGGAAATTAGGGCTATTGTTGAAGAATTTCGTATTTTATGTTATTGTTGAGTCAAAAGTATAGCATGAATGAACGGTTTTTAATTCATCAGGCAGCACTTATCAATCTGTAGATATTACTTCCACAAAAACTATCCCACCTTTTTCAGATGGTGATAGAAAAAAATATTTGTCAGATTTTTTTTATCATGAATATGTTAAAGTATCTTATGATGCCTTATTAGCTGATTGCCAACTATAGTAATTTTAATTATTTTGTATATATTTTTTTTTATGTAAATGATGATTATTATTGCTCAATAATAAATATAAAATTGTTTATTATCTTGAAGAGCTTATAATTTTTTTTTGAAAATATCATTTTTTTTTCAAACAGTCCAATAAAAAAAATCTGGACGGACTCGAATTATTAGAAAAATTCTCGGATCGGATTGGTCACGAAAAAAATTTTTCTGACTTGAAAAAATAATTTCGATGCATGGCTTATTTACTATTATAATCGATTATGAGAGCATCACCGCTGGAATTATAATAAAGTTTTATATATTTTTCAATACTTTTTTTAGTTCAAGGACTGGAAATGGCCACAGTGCTCTACTCGCGACAAACTATTCCATCTTTTATTTGTGATATCCGTCATAGTTATGATCGGTTGTGCCACCGCATTTATCATTTGCTTCAAAAAGGACAAGGGCTTAAGGAAAAACGAAGAGGTTTTTTTTAAAAAAAAAATTACAAATTCTTACAATTATTCCTTTCTTATATTATTTGATTAATTCCAATTTTATTTAACTTTTCTTTATTACAACCTCTTATTTTGAAAAAAAAGATATATAACTCACTTTTACACTCCCAAAAAAAGCTCGAACTAAACGAGGGAGAGATAGTCACCCTATCTTGCGGCGTCCTATTTTTCTTGTCCTTTTTCATGGGCATGTACGCCGAAATTAAGGCACGTAACCCGATATACAAAATCTGTTCTCAGACTCTGAGCCTTAATCAAAGTTGGATCATCGATGATTACTACGGCGATTTTAACCACAAAAATCCTTTGAGTCGTCCGCTTAATGATAGAGGGGGCGGTTATTACGACGAGAATGGCATGGATAGAAGGGACGATGGTAAACTTTTATGATTTGTAAAGATGTGCGTAACAAAATTTGGCATATTTTACAGTTTAGCCCCGGGTTTCAAAAAATTGATTTTAATCGGGTCGTGTTTGCTAGTTTTCTAATGATTTTTTTATAGACGTTTTTTTAAAATTTTAGGATTTAGGTCCAACAATGGCGCTGTCGAAGGAAACAAGAGAGATCGAGGGGGAACTAAGAGGCTTTTTTCGACCCTATTTAAATCTGGAGTTAATTCCGCTAGCGTACGCAGACCTAATCCTAGACGACTAACTAATAGGCGGAAAACGGAGGGGGAGACCAGTAATGAATATTACTTATTAAATTCTTATTTCTTTTATATAATCTACTTATATCCTTTTTGATTGCGTAATTTTGTGCTAAAAATTAAAAAACAAATTTTATAGGTTCTCTTTTCTTTAATTTTATGCAATTTTAAGTATCATTTTTATTTATTTTATTTGTAAGCACCCTTACCTTCCACCCCAGACTCCCTTTTTAACCAAAATTTGATTATCCCCAATAACCTTGTAAGTATATCGTCAAATATCAACCCAAGCTCTAGGGTAGATATCCTACCCACCATCAAAGAAATCATAATTTCTTCAGCTTCTGCCCAAACAACCATTTTAAACCAATGCGTCACAAATTCTACCCCAAACCTAAATAGGAATAACAATGTACAAAATAATGATACCTCAAATATTTCCAATGTCCATTGTCCATCCTCGCAACATCTTCCATTTATAATATGTACCGATCACTCAAATCAGAACGTTAATTCGGCCAGTAACCAACCTACGTTGATTGGCCCTTATACCAACATATCGAGGCCCAGGCACAGGACTATTAGTGAAGATCAGGCCATGTTTTATTCTGACTCCGGGCTAGCCCACGTTAAAAGGCATTTTTCGTTACCCGTTAATAACTATTATCCACCCTTACCCCCGCCCTTTACTTTTCTTGCACGTAATTTAGATAAGGATCAAATATCGAAAGCGGTAGGGAATCGTTAATATATAAATTTTATAATATTACAAAAAATACCATCTTGGACACCTGCACTAAACGATGTTCGCACCTAAATTTTATTATCATAAAAAATTTATCAAAAAAATTTAATATATTTTCAAGCACCTAAACCTTATGAAAATGTGTATGCGTACATTATCATTCCTTTAGGAAAACTTTATGCATCATTAATATATATATATTTTTTTAAAAAATTAAAAACTAATAAATATTCATAATATAAATGACATCTCATTTAACGCTGTTAATTTGTTTTTTAAGATATGAATATACATTATTATATTATACTTATAACTTCAATTAACAACATTTTAGTTTGTGTACAAAAATAAATAAATAATATTATACTTATGAATTTAATTATATACATATTTTTTAGAAATATATTATATTAATCTTTTTTATTATTCGCGTCCGCAATATACCAATAACGCTTCCTATAAAAAAACTCTAATTTCTTATATTGGTCAAATGTCAACAACACTTTAAGGCGGAGCACGTGTGAAGATCATATTTTATGAATAACCCAATTTTTTTTTGAAACTATTTGTTATTAAAATTGAATCATGTTGTATTGATTATTTTAATATTTTTTTATACGTAATTTATTATATTTATACGCGTCCTTTTTTCTCGTAATGGAAATTGATTAAAAATAAACAGTTTGTAGTAATGCTAATAATATTTTATGTGACGCTTGAATCCCAATCTTTTAAAAAATTGAATTTAAAAAAAATATATAGAGTTAAAAGTTTTTTTAAAGTTTAGTCGGAAAAAGAATATATTGTGACTAGTGATGCAAAATTGCTCTATTTGGGCCTAAAAACCGCTAACTCAGTATTTTATCCAGAAAAATATTATGCGAACTTGAAGATTTTGCTCATGATGGCACAGTTTGGACCAGGGATGCGAACCCGACAAAATTTTTGCCCGGGTTCGGTTCGGGGTATAAAAAAAAAGGTGGGTTCGGTTCGGGTTCGGTTCAGGGAAATATTTTTGAACCCGAGTTTGGTTCGGGTTCGGTTCGGGTTCAAGAATTTTTGAGTTGATAAAAAAAATTATATATTTAAATCATAATAAAAAACTAGACATAAATTTGATATAAAAAATAAAATTTTTATTTTATTTATAGGCAAATATAGTTAAAAATACAAAGCATATAGTCATGTATCAATTTTAAAAATTTTATTTAGACGTATTAGCATAATATCTTCCAAGAGTTGTTCACTCATCCTCGATCTATGTGGTGAAAGAATGAATTTAAAATGTGAAAAAGATCTTTCAACGCTAACCTATGTTATATGTATTTATATGTGAAAATATGAAAAATTAACTTGGGTTGCAGGAACAGCAAATAAGATTTTAGATAAAATATATAATTCAGGGTGTTCCAGCTTTGCAGACTTCCAAAAATGCAAAATATTTTCCTTCTTATCTAATCTTTTATAATCGCTAAATCCAGTAATTATTGTTCCAATACTTTTCTCAGCAATCGTTGGTCCTCTTTTAAGGATTTTCTCCTGCCTTTCTTTAAGTTGTATCAATTTCTCTAAATCATCTTCTTGTTCAATAACTTCATCGGAACTAATATCATCAGATAAAATCGGCGTTGTTAAGCTTTTAATTCGTCTCCATAAATTGACAAGATGTTTTTTCGCACTTATCATCATCACTAAGTAATACCTGTAATATTTAAGGATTTATATTGTTTATATTTAAATATTTCATAAAATAACAATTTTAATATAAATCTAAAATAATTAATTTACTAAGCTTTTAATTAACCTTGTATCTTGGGTCCAGGTATATGGCAGCTAAGAGAATTTCGTTCTTTATAAACCTTTCTTCTCTGTTCTTAAGACAAGAATATAGTAATTGAGCAAAATGGTTTGGATTTTTTTCCAATTCGATGCAGCATCTTAACCATGCTGCATAAAAATCTGTCAGTGTTAACTGTTCAGATTGGAATTGTTTGGTTGCGATTTTTAGCGGTTTTAAAATTTCAACAATCGTTATTATCTCTTTCCAATCTTCAGTCAATAAATAATCAGATTGCTCTGTAAAAAAATCTTCGATATTGGGTTTTAGTAAAATCAGCCTTTCTAACATATCATGGGTTGAATGCCATCTGTGGCAATCTAACACAGGCTTAGGGAGTTTCATATTTTTTAATAACTTTTGGTAAGTGGGACGTCTTAATTTTAAATTTAGGCTTCTAGCTTTTGCAATGGTTTCCACAATAGGTGATAATTTTATAGCATCTTGAAGTGCCAGCTGAAGTGTGTGAGCTGCACACCGTACACTATAAATCGGATAGGATATAATAGTTGATAAAAAAGTATTTTGTATATCATCAATATCATATTTATATACATTTACATCCATATTTTCCTCATCTGCTGATTCACTCCTTATATCATAATCAGTTTCAGGTTGCAGGAGCTTTATAGCTCTTAAAAAATTTCAACCATTATCAGAAGTAATTGTATATATTTGTTGAATATTAATTTTAAATTTTAGTAAAGTTTTTAATATATTCTCTTTTATATATTCTCCTGTAATCTCTCATTCAGCTCTACAATTCCAAGAGTCCTCAAATTTATAATGGACTTTGATATAAATTGAATATTTACACCAAGAATTGACCTATCTAGTCGTTGAACTGCATCAACTTTTAAACTTATTAATTTTCCTTCTACCTCTCTCGATATTTTGTCTCTAATTGATTGGGCTGTTTTATTAATAGTTCTGGATAAATTTTCTTTGTTTATAACTAAATTGAGCCCAGATAGGAGTGGATTTATAATTCTTTGAAATCCCGAATCTTCAATAATTGATAAAGGCCGGCCATTTACAGTAACAAGTTCTAGTATAGAACTCATCAAATCATTAGATGATATATTTATACTTATATGCTTTTTTGGAAAAAAGGTTTCTATATTAATTTTAGGTTTTTTTGCCAATAACAATTCCTGATATTTGGTTTTTTCATTTAAATAATTTAAATATTCATTGTTGTGATTTCTTTCCAGGTGTCTTTCAAAATTTGACAAGTGATTACCAGACATTTTTACTTTGCAATATGAACATATTGATTTTTTTTCTATTGTATTAAGGGTAAAATGCTTATCAATTATGACTTTATCTTTAATCTACTATAAAAAGAGAACAATTTTTTTAAATAGCAATGATTTCAGAATTAAAAAGAGATATTTATAAATTTAATTTCATTTATAATATGCACTTCATTAATATCTTGTAAAAATTAAACTGAACCAAAAATAAATGATTAGCATATATTAATTTTAAAATCATTTTAATAAGTTCACAAAAACTGCCCTACATTTAACAATTTTTAAGTTAGATGTTTAGAATTTTTTAAATTAACAATATAATAATTTTTACTTTGATTTGTCAACCATTTTCTTCTAATTAATAATCTTTAAGAATAATAAGATAAAAATTTAAAAATAAATGGCGTAAATTAATTCAATTGTTTAAAATTTTTTAACACTCCAATAGGAATCGAGAATAAATTTAAAAATGGCATAAATGAATTAAGTTGTTTAAAATTTATTAAGACTTCATTTAATTGGAAATTTGAAAATATAATATTTGTATTTACATATATTAATATATGATTTTAAATAATACACTGAACCCGATTGAACCCGGGTTCAAATAAAATTCTTGGGTTCGGTTCGGGGTTTTGAAAATTTTATAAATGGGGTTCAGGTTAGGTTCGGGTTCAGAGTTTTTTTCTAAAAACCCGGCTTCACTTCTCCGGGTTCGGGTTCGGTTCGAATCCCTGGTTTGGACATCTATTAGCGAAATCTCGAAGCTTAAACTATATTTTTCTGACTAAAAATTGAGTTAACCTTTTTTAAAAATCAGCACAAACGGACGATCTTGCATATCTAATTATGATTATCTTACAAATTATGCTATATATTTTTTATTGGCCGAGGGAAGTTTAAACAACATCGTGTTGTTTTTTTGTTATTTAAAAAATTATTTTACAAGCCTAACCAGATCACTTGTGTAAAATATATTTTACAAGCCTTCTCGAGTCAAAATAATTCCGGACCAAAAAATCCGATAGAACATTTTCACGAGCTGAGCCACCCCGACCTTTAATTTACATACATAAATTAGAGAAAACGAGTTTCCATTTTTGTTAAAATTGTAATATTTGCATTTATAAATTTAACAAAACATGGTATTAAAGTAAATAAATAACCCAACTAACTAAGGACTGGCTAAACAATTTTTTTTTAAATTAACAAAGGCCGGCGGGAAATAATTTTTTTTTAAATTTAAGCAATAGCTGACTGGATGGATTTATAATCCGCCCTTTGCGAACCTCTAAGCTGTACTCATGCATTTTTGGGCAATGTATAAGATAGGTTAGCTCTGATGCGTTCAAAAGGCTAGGTGGAAGATAATTCCTCAGGAAATAAAAACACCATTTTTTTCTGAGGTAGTGGTAAATGAAATGGGGAAATCATCTTGCTTGATTCTTCCTTTCTAAAGGTATCGTTTAACAATTCTGAAAGGTTTTTGATTGTTAACTATTTCGAAATCATATTATATTTTTTAATTTTGATATTAAAAAAAGATGATAGGTCTGCAATTTCAAATTACTATATTTTTTTGGTTGATAAAAAAAATCCCAATAATAGATTTAAATAGTAAAACATTTATATTTTTTTTAAAAAAATCAAAATTTATCTTAAAATTGAGGGAAAACATAATAAGGCTATTTTTGTTGAGGGCTTCCTCCAAAATATATGGGGTTAATTGGACTCTCGTGCCCTGACAGGCTCACCGAATGATGATCATCTACATAATTTTCAAATGAAGCTCTAGACCCGGGTTGACTGATCCTTTTTAATGATCCAGGTGATTCGTTTTTTACCTGAACCATTCTTGACGATCTGCGTGCTTCCATTATTCCCGCTTCATCTATTCAATCAGCAGCAGCAAATAAATTCATTTATATTTTAAAAATAAATTTATATAATTATAAAGAAAATACCTTTAAAAGGTGTATCGGTTATGACCACGGCT